GGGGGGGGGAACCTGTGGCAATTGCTACGAGTTCACCACCAACCTCACCTCTACCACCACCATCCCTGCTGCCAGGACTAACGTCTGACGTCGACCAAGTCAGTGAGCGAACAACACCTGTTGAACAATGCTGAGCCGCTATATATATATATATATATAGCCTGTATATACAGGGGATCGCGGGCAATAAGAACAGCGCTTTTTGAGCTAGCAAATTACATGCAAACAATGCTTAATTTTTTTTAAATTACATACAAACAATGCAAAAAAAGAGGCTCAGTTTCTGAACACGACGGTTTCTTATTGCCCGCGATCCCCTGTAGCGATTTTGCCCCGAGGGACAGAAATCGCAAATATACGCTGCTTATCTGTTGGTCCAGTCTATCCCACCCCTTGCCGGGGGTGGGCATCGGGCGCAGGACTTTGGGATGCGGGAAATTGCGGGCGTGCTGGCTCATGATTGTGTTTCGGAAACTTTAAGTTTGCTGGCTCATATTTGGTTTTGGGTTTCTTGCCGCCCAGGTGGCGTGTCAGCGTGGTTAACTGGATGGTTTCAAAGGCCCGTTTGGTAGATGAGCGCATTGTGCGTGGATGCTTTCCGTGTATGAATATGACGGGCTTGTCCGAAGTTAATGCGTGCTTGTTTGACGGGCCTGCTGCGGATTCGTGGTGTATGGTGGGACTAGATGGTCCTGCTTTGGGTTCATGACGTATGGTGGGACTGGCTGCTCCTGGTAGTGCTGAGGGTGTGACTCGAGACGGTCTCTTCTGGATGCGCTTTGGGGGTATGACTCGAAGCGGTCTCTTCTGGATTTGTTTTCCCACGATTGGTATGCGTAAGCGTGGATGGCCTCGGCTGTGCCTAAGGGTGGGCTCAAGCTGCATGGAGGGTATGGTCGGGTCTGCAGCTGGGAGTGAGTCTTCATTATTCGGAGGTTGATTGCGCGTCAAGCGTTTTCGTTTGACAGGAGTTGTATTAGTCTTATTCTGAGTTTTTTCTACAGCAGCAGGAGACAGCCACCAAGGCAATAAATAATTGATAAATTTTGGCGGGGTATATGTTTTTTTAGCATTAATATTCTTTGTTTCTACTGCTTCGTTTAACGCGATTGTTGCTTTGTTAAACGCCTCTTTTGCATCGGCAAGCGTCTTAGTTGCTTTACTTACATTCGTAGCTAATATTCCATGCGTCTTAGTTGCTTCATTAACATTCGTAGCTAATATTCCTGAGATCACAGATGCATTTTCAACTGTGGTAATAAATGCTGCTTTATTGCTTATATAACTGTTGAATTTAGATTTAATTTTGCTGCCTCCTGTCAGAAGGAGAGCACCGACAACTGCAGTTTGAGCAATTGTCTTCCTGCTAGCCCGTGAAGACGCAGTTTTTGCAATTGTATTCGCGCCAACTGCTACTCTTCTGGTCTGATTCTCACCATTTCTTTTTTCACTAGCCTGAGCTCTATCAGCTCCATTTTGGGCTTTTTCAAGTGCTGTTTTTCCTGATTTTCCTGGTGGTACTGTTGATTTTGGAATAAACAGATTGTGCAAGCCGTGACACTGGCTGCGGTGGCCGTGGGCGCGGCCGTGGCGGCCATGGGGGCCAGGGCGCACACACTCACACCTAAGGGTGTGAGTGCTGGTGCATGAGGGTGTGTGTGTGTGGAGGGGGGGGGGGAGAGAGAGAGACTGTGGCGTGTACACGACTCCATCCGCCTCACAACCACTCTCTCGCTCTGTCAAAGTCTGCACAATCTCGTCTGTGAGTAACGCGAGTCTCCTGCCGCACACTGCTGAGCCAATTATTATTATTATTATCTCAGAGTCTGCACACAGTCGCCATAATTCAGATTTCGACCCGGATATTATAATCTTAATGAAGGGCATGGGACTCTGGCTGGTCTGTCTACTGTCTGTCTGTCTGTCTGAAAAGTCAAACAAGAATAAGTAATAGTATAATAAATAAGAATCTAGGTGGGCGCCGCTTTTATATGAATGAAGGGGGGTTCGGGTTGGCGGTGTATCATGTGCACGTTGCAAGCTGATCTTAGCGCTCCGACGCAGGCTCCTACGCGCTACGCCGAAGTGCCCCGGGAACTGGTAGAAGTGGTGGATGATGAGGAAACCGAAAACAAAGCGCTGACGTTGCTGCGCAACGCGGGGCCGCCCGACAGTGCGTGAGCAAGCGAGTTCATTGGTGATCCCAACGTTGACGTATCGCTGGGAAGCGATGGGGTTTTGAATGTCGAGAACTCGTCTGCGCGTGCAGGGCGCGGGCCGCAGCGCGGGGGCACGGTGGAAGGACTGGTTGAAGAGGGAGCCGAAGGAGTTGGAGAGGAAGCCGAAGGAGCCAAACTGTCGTCCGACAACGCGAGGCCGCCCGGCAGTGCGCGAGCGAACAAGTTCATTGGTGGTCGCCGCTTTTATATATTTCTGATAGGGATTCTTAATCTGGCGTCTGACTGTTCTGAATGTTGTGCTGGTCTGAGCGCTGCGTCGCCCATTGCCTGCTGCGTGCCTTAGTCGGCTGCGCTGGCTTGGGCGCCACCGCGCGTGCCGATGGATCTCCGGTAGTGTGCCCGGGCAAGGGCGTTTAGGGAGATGATCTGCTGGTTGCTGTCTTTTATATTAATGTAGGGGGGTTTCGGCTGGCGGTACGTTTCAAGTTCAAGTCAGGCTGACCTTAGCGGTCCAACGCAGGCTCCTACGCGCTACGCCGAAGTGGGGAGCTGGTAGAAGTGATAGATGATGAGGAAGCCGATGTCTTTCATATATTATAGAGCATATTATAAGAGTCCCCACTTCAATTTTTTCAGCGGTGGTCACGAAGACCTGCTGGAACGGCGGATCCACTTGCAAAAGTGACGTTGTTATGAACCGACGACGAGGAGAGGACTCGAGCGGAATAAAGTATGTAATAATAATAATAATATTCACGACTCTTCTTCAGGGCTTGTCCTTCCATGGCTCCGCCCCTGCGTTCGACTTCGAGCTCGAGGCCTGCGGCCGCAATCGGGCGGAACGACCTGGCCCCCCTCGCTCCATTTTGCGATCAGAGGTGGAACGACCCCCCCTCGTTATTTCTTTTCCAAAAATAACGTTGAACGTCCTCCCTTTAAAAGATGGCATATTCAGAACAGTCAGACGCCAGCTTGAATCCCTATCATAAGTATACATGTAGACTGTGAGACTAGTAGACTCTAGATTAGTGGCTTGTTGTAAATTGTACCGGACCAAACGCAACGCGCTCATCAATTATGCTTCGCGGCGCGGTCGCGGCGTCGTGCGGCGCGGCGCGGCGTCGTGCGGCGCGGCGCGGCAGTCATCGGTGGGCCACGGTGCGCCGAAAGAGAAGCGCTCGCGAGTCGCTGCGCCCAGACGCAGGATCTCTCGCAATCTCGAGGATCATCGCCCCAAACTTGGCCGAGTCGTGCTCGCCTTGTGTATGAGCACAAACTTGGGCTTGTTGCTCGTCCATCTTGCCGAGCCCGACCTTGCTCGTCCTTCTTGCCGAGCATGAGCCGCCGCTTCCTCCTCCAGACACGCCCTCGCGGCGCGCCCTCACAGTGTGGGCACCCGGCGGCTAGCTCGCACACGCTAGATCGATCCAGCGTTTCTCGAGGTACTCGAGGTGCTCGATATGCTCGATAGGGCTCACGCCGGCGGCCTCGCGATGGTCGCGCGCCTCGCGCTTTGAATGGCGAGGCCGCGCCGTCGAGTCCGTCCCGTGGCCTGCGCTTCAGCGAGCCCTTCGACGGTTGCGCCCCACGTGACCCTTCTTGCGCGACATGCCAGAGAGGTGGAGGACGTCAGACAGGGGCGAAGTGGCTGCACGCACGAGAGCGAGTTTGGCGCCCGGAGCGGTCTTATCGCAAACGCCGATGCCCGC